CCCCCTTCCAGAAAGCTTTTAGCTTCTTTTTGGAATTTGCCGTAGTAACAAGCCTTTTTGGAGTAAAGGATTGCAAATGCTTTGACCAGTGTTTGCAAGTTGTTCCCATTTAGGAACACACGCTGTTCCCGTTAAGAACTGCAGGTGGTCCCAATTAAATTAAACATTGGCCTTGTTGGAATGTTCTATCGGCCCTGAGCGTGACCAAGAGAGGGTGTACTTTATCTGGAAATGGAGGCTCCTTCAGTTGGACCTGCGCTTCACTGGTTTACAAACCACCATGAAATGCATGTTGCTACCAACAAAATGAACACTCCACACCCACATGGCTCTTTTCAACCAACGAGGGAGTGCTTCTTCTCTGAGTGGATTATGTTTCACGTTTTGAGACGTTCCCCTGATATTCAAATGCTCATTTCCTCAGGTCAGATGTCGGGCCCCATGCTGGCCCGCCTGTCCCTGACGGCACCCAAGATCCGCAACCTGGCCGACGGACTGCGGCAGATTGCCACCACGTCGCACGACATCGTTGGCCGGGAGCTGAAGCGGACTGTGATGGCCGATGGGATGACCCTGCGGCAGATCACGGTCCCCATCGGGGTGCTTATGGTCATCTTCGAGTCCCGCCCGGACTGTCTGCCCCAGGTGGGTGAGAAATCAAGATCAGGTTCCCAATTTTCATATCCCTGCCAACTAGGAAAGTTTGGTAAGCAAATCCTTGTCCCAACCAAAGAAACAAACATTAATAGCTGGGAACCAGTCACAGGAAATGTACATTGTATAGTGTATGACATTTTGGCTGGTAAGCATTTGTTTTGCTTAGCAAATAATTTGATTCAGCCTAACAAAATGAGTCAGAAGTCACCAAAGCCACCTTTGAGTTAATAGTGACCTTGCCCAGCTGGAATCAGTAGGAACCTTCCACATTTTGGCCCACATATTATCCAGTTTCGTCACCAGGAAGCCAGACTGAGTGTGGTACATAAAACAGAGCTCAGTGTGGTCTTTTTGATCCACACTAGAGCAAAATTAATGGAAACAAATTACCTTGAGACTCATTTTCTTTGCTTTGAAATTTCGGTATTCAGCAGGTGTATGAAATGGATTCCCGCTGTCACCAGGGTTTGCTTCTCAGGCTTAGCAATCCCCCGTATGAGTGGTGTCAGGAGTGAGATTTGTCAGGATTTTAGTGATTTTATGATTCTTTCAACAGGATTTTCCTGAATTTGGGATTTTACAGTCATTTTACAGTCTGGGAAATCGTGTGTTTGCCCGTTACAGTGCTTGAACATATAAAGATTGATATAGGGATGCCGTGCATGAATGTCATGGATTAGACTTTGTGTTGATTTTACTCAGTCAAGCACAAATTCAGCCCGATAATTCTTTTGATTCAACCGCACAGCTCAGGAATGCCATTTGCACTGCCTCAACATAACGACAGGAATTGCCGGAGGATTTTGAAAAATTGAGGCAGCAGGCACACCTCCAAGCAACATTTTCAAGCAATTTTGAGGGTTGAGGGTTTTTGAGGGTTTAATGCGTTCAGAGGGTTGAGGGTGAACACATTATTTTCATGTCAAAAATAGGAGAATTTCAGAGGATTGAGGATGGTACCTAGTAAAAAAGGCCCAAGGGTTATGTACACCATGGATTCTACACTGCAGATTTTTTTTGTGTGGATATTTCATTTTCTCCAAATGTCAACCCTGTGGCGTGCAAATCTGTATGGTTGTGTGGCACTGAGGTGTCTGCAGCAGCAACAGTCATCCGCTCCAAGCGGAACAAAAGAGGGCAGGTTTTTTTTTACTACTCACCGCATACATGTATGAGTGCTTTTATAATGGGATCAATGGCGCGGTTGACGTGGAGCACACTGAGTACGCATAACAAATTTATTTCTTAATGTGTGGTCTCTGCGTACACGCTGAACGTGTGCAAGAACCTGCCTGGAAAACTTACTATCGTCTGTCTTTTGTTTGGCCGCTTGGGGGTGCACTTCAACTCGGGGCAGATTGCCAGTACTGAGACAGTGGGATCTTGTCTCACTGAACATTTCATTGCTGGATTGTGTGGCTGGCAGGTTCAGACTAAAGTGCTGTTTGGCCTGGGAATATTTTTCTTATGTAGTGGATCTTTCTGTTGGCATTTCATTACAATTACAGGTAACTCTTTTCCTGTGAAATGCTGTTTTCACAAGAAGCCCCGCCGAAGAATAAATAGAAGAAATGTTACTCAGTATTTTAAAAAACATTAAACTTATCTTCATGTCTTCAACCACTTATGTGTTCAAAAGATAATTGTTTCAAATATGTTAAGGTATGCATTCCCGAAAAGACCAATAAAGTGATTGCTAAATGCATTTGGAAGTGGAACTCCGAAACGGCCAAAATTTTATCAACCTCAAATACCGAACCCTGGCATCCCTCCATAGGGCAGCAAGGGATGTTGAAAGGGGATGGTGCTGATGGACTCATGCTCTGCCGTTGCAGGTGGCAGCGTTGGCCATCAGTAGTGCCAACGGCCTGGTGCTGAAGGGCGGTAAGGAAGCCACTCTGACCAATGAATGTCTGCAGGGGCTGGTGACTGAGGCCCTGGAGATGTACGGAGCCAAGGATGCCATCTCTTTGGTAAGTAATCCGCACCACGGTCACGTTTAAGTTTCTGCTCTGGCAGGGTGGTGTGACTTGCCAACATGCCCACTCGTCAAGTTTAAAAGCATGCAATAGGCCTTTTGCGAGTTAACTTCGACCCAAATCTGGTACACTGAGTTCTTTAAATTCACGCGAACATAACAACTTGAATTCTCCTTACTAAAACCACTGTTGCTATACCTCGTAATTCGGGGCGAGCTTTTGCTTAGTTACATAAGAGACGCCTTGCAACAATACACTGTTCTCAATGGATAAGAAGGGCACTAAGGAACCAGTCCATTCCAGAGATGGTGGTCGCTATGCAAAAGCTTGCCCCGAATTACGAGGTATAGCAACAGTGTCTTTAGTCTGGGAAATTCAAATCGTTTTGTTAGTGTGCACTCAGATAACTCAGTGCACCAGATTTTATTCAAATTTATCTGGCAAATGGCTTATTGGGTACGGTGCCCTCGCAGTAACAGTGTCTTCTCAGATAAGTCTGGAGCATCTTCAGAGTTCTGTAGACAACACTTCAGTAAGGTGAGGACAAGTACTATTATAAGAATTTTCCCCTCCCCAAAACCTGTTACCTGATGTTTTTCCTGTCTCTTTTGTCACTCCTTGACAAGCACCGTTTAGGGCCTGTGACCATTTAGACCCGGTTTGAAAAGGGCCCCCTGGTAGCCCACCCTGTATAATGCCTGCCCGATATTCAGGCTACTCCAGGCCGGTATCAGGCCTGTCTGCACATTGGCATTTCAAAGTCCCTGATGAAAGGCTTCCCCCACCATGCTTCCACAGATGAATAGGGTTCTAAGCAGATTAGTGTTAACATTGTATAGAGCTGAAGGATTAAAACCACAAGCGGGTTCCTTCTGGGATAGATTACATGTACCAGTACTTGCAAACAATAGACCCCAGGATGGAGAAGTTCGAGATCAACAACCAGTCCAGCATCCCAGACTGGTAGCCAGGCCGGTATGAAAGGGGTTTTTGCAACAGAGCGAGCTTACCGGGAGGCCCTTTTCAAACCGGGTCTAAATGGTCGCCGGTCCTTACATTACAACTGGATCAATTCAACAGCAGTCCTCTAGTGGTATCCCTGGCAAGAAATGCCTTTTTTGATTTTTTTTTCCTTGGATCCCTCCAGACCGCGTCCCATGTAACCTTTTCCTCCTCCCTAGATCAACACCAGGGAGCAGGTAGGGGACCTGCTGAAGATGGAAGGCCTTGTAGATCTGGTCATCCCCCGGGGCTCCAAGGAGATGGTGCAGAAGATCCAGCAGGAGAGCCAGGGTATCCCGGTCCTGGGTCACAGCGAGGGCATCTGCCACGTCTTCATTGACAAGGAGGTGGACCCACAGATGGCCATCAAGATAGGTAAATGCACTGTTGACCCATAACTTATAAAGCGCAAGTATCTAGTAAAGGGAAAACGATTCACTGCACTATTTAGAGAAATCTACCGATAAGTGTGAACAGACAGGTAAGTTTTGAGGTGAAATTTAAAGGATTCGGTGTCAGGTCATTGATAAGCTCATTGGTGATAGATTGATCAAGTTCAGAAGATTTCGTCTGCTCTGAAGAATTAGTGATGTCACGATTAATTGAGACTTATTTTCACTGCTGGCCAAATTCATCTCACAATATCTGAGCACATAAAATTATGTTCTTGTAGCAGCAACACAGTGCACTTCAATTGAGATCTGTGTTCTGAAATACTTTGCTAAGGGATCTGATGACCGTGACTTTGTCGTTGTGTTGTGCAGATGAAAATGTTTTCATTTCTCTGTGTACAGTGCGTGACTCCAAATGCGACTACCCGGCTGCCTGCAACGCCATGGAGACGCTCCTGATCCACAACGAGTTGAGGCACAACGCCCTGTTTGACGATCTGCTGGACATGCTCCGGTCGGAAAATGTGAGCGTCAGTCGTCAATCGTCAATAGCACATTGTGGATCAGAAGGAACCATCAAACATTTTTACTGACAGAATCTCTTTATCCGTAAGGGTAGCAAGCAGAGTGATTCATCAAAAATAGAGCCCAGCGTTCCCATTCCAATGCAAACTCCAAAAAAAGTTACTGGAAAACAGCCTTGAGACTCATTCCGTAGGATAAGGTCACCTATGTACCATACTTGGCAGCAGGTCATTTAGTAAGTCCAAGTCAAGTCACAAGTGACTAATGTCATGACTCTAGTCCAACTCGAGGGTCCATGTTGCGTTACTTGAGTCAACAACTCTGCTGTGTACATTCTGTGTCCCATTCGTGTGGCACTCAGCATTCCAAGTTGGTCAGATTCATGTTTTTTGTGTTGAAAGTAGAATAACCGTGTTACCCTGTCACAGGTGAGGATCTATCCCGGACCGCGCCTCTCCAAGTCCCTCAAGATTGGCCCGGCTGAGGCCAAAAGCCTGAAGGTGGAGTACGGCGGGCTGGAATGCGCCGTTGAAATAGTGGATGACGTGGACACCGCCATCCAACACATCCACAAGTATGGCAGCGCGCACACCGACGTGATTGTCACAGAGAATAGTGAGTGGAGAACATTGACTCATGAACACCTACTGATAAAGCAAATTTTGCTGCATTTGCTCATTGGTGAATTCAGGAAACTATAGGGTGGTTTGGTGATTTCATGCAGTAGAGTGACAAAGAGATTATCTCATTTGGTGTTATCGTTAGGTACCTTCCTGGGACACCAAGAGTTTATCTCATTTGATGTTATCGTTAGGTACCTTCCTGAGACTCAGAATTGTATGGCAAACCGAATGGCAATTTTTTAACCTCGTATAATCTTTTGAAATGGTCATCAAGCCACAATAGAAGTGGTTACAATCAAGCTTAATCTGTGGAGATTTTCTCTTTCTGGAAATGTGAAGATTTTGAAGCCTGTCAAACAAGCATTGAAGATGAAAGGCCTCATCCGGAGCAGCATCTTAAAAGGTCCATGTTTGGTATTCCAAAACTTGACACTCAATATCAAAATAAAGAGGCATTCCAAAGACAAGTTTTTTCACTTTTTATCTGTCATGAATACTCTTGTGGACACACATGCCAATTTCTTACTTCCATAAAGCAGTTTTGTCTCTTGCCCTTGGTATCCTCTCTGAGTTGAAGTACACCCTCACCTGCGAAAGAAAGTCATATGGTACTGAGTTTTCCAACCGGCGTCTTGCAGGCATTCGGACTATATATTCCAGACTAAATTTGTAGTGGGTACTCGGCATACTCCGCGTCAAACGTGCATTAACTTGCACGTGCCTATGTGATGAGTGCATACCAAATGGCTGTCAATTTCATTTCAAAACACGCCCTCTTTGGTTCCTGCTCGGATTGGATAGAGAGATTTACTTCATGTTTTCTCGATAGTTTCTTGCCGTACTAAAGAAACCGTAACAGAGTACCAGCTGCAAGGGGTCTGTGAGGAACAGGTTCAGTCTTAAAAATGGTTGAGAAGGGTTGATTGACTTACATGTACGTCGCATTTTACTTGGTTTCTCTCACAGCACAAACAGCCCAGAGGTTTATGATGGGAGTGGACAGCGCCTGCGTTTTCCGTAATGCCAGTACTCGGTTTGCTGACGGCTACAGATTTGGTTTAGGTGAGGAACGCTTTCTGTATCACGTTCATGTCCACAAGTGTGCTTGTCATTATGGTCATACTTCTGGTCTTTGTGCAGTTTCATTATGGTGGTACCCGTGGTCTTTGTGCAGTTTCATTATGGTGGTACCCGTGGTCTTTGTGCAGTTTCATTATGGTGGTACCCATGGTCTTTGTGCAGTTTCATTATGGTGGTACCCATGGTCTTTGTGCAGTTTCATTATGGTGGTAGCTGTGGTCTTTGTGCAGTTTCATTATGGTGGTACCCATGGTCTTTGTGCAGTTTCATTATGGTCAAATTTTATGCTAGCCCCATGTGCTTGCCAATAAGAGTTGAGCATGTCAGGGGGTGTTTCAGACCTTGGAAAAGTTTTTCTTTTCTGTAGTTTTGGGTGGCAAGTACATATACATGAACACAAATGCAAACTGACTCTAGCCCAACTACACATTTGTTGGTCTGTTCAGTCCAGTCCACTCTTAAATGTATGTGTAATGGCTGGGGACTGTTTCATGTTTTCCTTTACATCAGTGGGCTTACCACAGCCGAAGGGTCCATAATATGTGTCTGCTGATTGGACAAAATCTAGAGGTCCAAGGGGCATCATCTTGCAATCAGTGAAATCAGTGAATGTGCGTAGACGATATCATGGACACTTGTCTGCAACCAAGCATCTGTCTCATAGACTGTGATTCAACTTCCATACCTCAGTCTCACAAATCCTCTGCCCCCTTTCGTACAGGAGCGGAGGTAGGGATCAGCACCACCCGCATCCACGCCCGAGGGCCAGTGGGCGTCGAGGGCCTGCTCACCACCAAGTGGATTCTGGAAGGCTCCGGGGACGCCGTACAGGAGTACGGCGAGGAGGGCCCAAAGGCGTACCGCCACGAGCATCTTCCCATCAGCAATTGATGACAGGTCCAAGTCCTGCATCGGTGTACATAGCCCATTTTGCCAAAGCTGGAAAAGGGATTCTCTTGTTTGATGCTGTGGAGATGTGACTTGTAAGATTAAAGAGATGGTTGGCAAGACTTTGTTGCAAATGAAGCGGCCTCATATTATCAAGGAGGAGAGATCAGGCTTGTTGTCAGGCTTGAAAAGACAATGAACTACGGATGCATATTTGCTAGATTGGGATTGCTAACAATCCTGTGAGAAAAATGGTGCCCAGAGGGGCGAAAGCTCTGAGCATAAGAGGCGTTTACTAAGTCTTGTCAATCTCTTGCGTCCAAGACGGTGTAGGGTTGAGGCCTTGATATCCTGTACACAAGGACGTCGTAGGCTTTTGTGGAATCTTGAGGTATAGTGGTGAAGTATAAGGCACTGAAATGCTGCTTAAGGTATTCACGTTGACTTTGGTTTTAATATCCTTCCAAATATTGTTTTCTGTTTAGTTTCGTTTGGTAATTTTTCTTTCCTTCGTGTCGAGTGAAATAAGTCTGTGTGTGTCATCAAGAGAGTAGGCTAGGAATCCGCGCACATGGAGATATAAACAAGCCGTTTGCCAAGGTCATCATGACTTTTACATTTCACTTTAGTGGGTAAGCCATGACATTCTGTAGCTTTCTACACGAGTCCTGAGGCTTTTAGCAACCAACTTTGGCAAGGATGCAATTCAAATGACTCACAAAGCCTTAAGTTGTGAGCGTGTGCTTTGTCATGGAAATTTTCTGCTCGTATGAAATCTCACCGATCATTGCTGACCGATGCCAATTTTACAGCTCTATAAAGCCACGCCAAATAGTTCATGTGCGCTGACAACATGAGGACCAGGTGGTTGATTGGTTGGAATTTGTTAAAGGTCTTATTGCGTCATCACGTGGCCCTATCCCTGTTTATCTTTGAGATGCCCTTCCTCATTTTTCTGGTCTCCTTTGGAGATGCATCGAGTGGGTTGGAAAGTGAAACATCTCCAGCAGCAAAAGAAATAAAAAGTATATTTTATGTGGTTTTTAGGACGTTCAAAAATGTATATTTTATTACTACTTTAAAGGACAAGTACGCGGTTTAAGCTCGGTTCGTCACTTTGAAATAGCAGTCACTTTGAAATAACCCAAGGTTGGTCATGTTTTTGGTTTTCTTAATGGTAGTAATAAGGCATTAAATGGAAAAGTTCGGCCGTTTTTGTGTAGATGGTGTATCTCATGGGTCACAAGCCTTGAATGCGCAAATGTTGTTGAGTTACATTTTCAGTCACCTTGAAATACTGATGAATGTGAAACGCTGCTTACATTTCTTGAAAGTAATTGTGCATGCCTGAGGGATGTGTATTTTGGAGTCCTTTGGGTGTATTGCAGTTTGTGGCGCACCTAGGCATATTTGTCCTCCTTTAAGTATCGGCTAGAGTATTGGATGATCCAAGTCAATATCAATTCAGATTTCCTCATGTTTGTCGACTGAAACAAAAACGAAATCGACTCTGTGCCATACAGCTGACAGTGCAAGCATGTTCATTTGCGATTAACGACAGCAGGTGAGCAGAAAGATCTTAGTCGGACTGCGGTTATCGGTGCGGACGCTCTTTTGAAATGCTGCCGTCTTGCGCTGTTGTCATGTACATGAAGCTGAAACGCAATTTCTATGAGGTCCATTTGAAGCAAAATATGGGACGGAGAGAACCCCCCCCGCTTTTGTGTTGCTTATTGTTTGATCGGAATCGCAGGAATTCTTTACAGACTTCTAGGGGGGATGTGTTAAGTAACGGTAGTCTAGAGTGTGTATAGGGATTTGACATGTAGGGGGGGTACCCCTCCGTCCCATATCTTGGCTGGTATAATTAGGTCTGCCGACAGTCGCCAATAGGCAAAATCGAGCTGCCGCTGGACAAGAGTCTGTGACAGAGTAGTGATGCGACGATGTTTGCATGTACCCACCGCCATATCTAATTGGAGCGTTGGTGATGGGTCACATCCTGTGCAAAAATTGTCGAATAACGACTGAATCTAGTGTTCAAATCCGGTGCTAGTAAGGCACTGCCGTCAGTGAAACGAGACAGGTACTACTGACTCAAAATATACCTCCTGAGATGATATTTTACAAGTTGGTTCTTAACCCCGACACGGAAAACCATTAATTGAAGAGTGTGTGTTTTTCCTTCGGAATACCAAATACATTTAATGTAAAGTACTGCCTTCATGAGATATAACCGTTTTCCATTCGGTGTGGAAATCAATGTATTGTGTAGGATTGGGAAATATCAGGGTAAACCAGGAGAGAGAAATACTCGTGCAGCACAGGTTTTATTTGTGTTACAGGCATGTACACGTGTAATCCGCCTTCGGTAGAAGCTCCCCCTCATCGGTTGGAAAGAGGTCGGCAGTTGTTGCAGGTTGCACTACACCAAATACGCGCCCTTGGAAAACAGTGCAAAATCAGACCGAAATAGCGCCGCCTGTTGACTCTGGTGAAAAGGGTGACCTCCTTTTTTCACTGGAAATTCAAGAGTATTTTTTCGTTTCGATTTCATGGGGCTTAGCCACGAAATTGTTTTTATATGCCTTTGAACGAAGATACCCCCAAAATATCAGTAAAACTAAGCGCTCATTTCTGAATGTACCCTCCCGCCTCTATCCAAAATAGGTCCGCAATTTGGGGCTTTTTGTGAAAGAAATACCCTAAACTGGAAACTATCAGTCTCAAATTTGGGATTTATAGAAATAGTTCTATGATGCCTCCTGATTTTGGCCTGTCTTATTGTAAAAATCCCAGAAGGGGGTTGAACAGAAGATTCGCCGGCGGAAGGGACCAAACTTTAAAACGCAGGCTAGGATACAGATAGCAAGCTTGTATCAAGACTAGATTGCAGGCAAAATATCCATGCTGCCTTCACCGATGCCCAGCTACGCATAGACATAATAGAAGTGAGCATTCTTCAGAAAAAAAAAAACTGTAAAAGGGATCACGTCACGCGCTAATTATTGGTACGTTCTGTGCCTCCTTTGTTGTAGAAATACCTGTACTGTCATATTGCATCGTTTTGTCCAGTTGGCCTAACTTTACGTGTACATGTTTCATTAGTTATTGTTGCTTTCTGTGATAATTTGTTATAACAGGATGATGGACAATAATGTGATCGTGGTTTCTTGGCTCTTTTTTAAACAATCATCTGCGATATTATGGAATCAGTAATGGTAAAATTGTTTTGAGTCCGTCTCTATCTGAGAATGTAAATAGTATAAATTTAATGGACAAAACGTATCGCATTTGTATTTTATCCCTAGCCCTGCGTAGAGTGAGAAAACTCCCTTTCTTTGGAACACTAGTATTGCGTATAGCACAGTTGGTTTTTCATTATGCGAGATGAAGGCAGAAGGTGCCTATTTTTAATTACTTAAAATTAACTGCTTACGTTTTTTCTTGAAATAGGGATAGTTTGTGGTAGCCTGTAGGGCGTGGCTTATAGCTTGTAATTAGGGCGATTTATTTGACAGCCTGCGTCCAAAGAGGTTGGACTTTAGGGCCGCGTTGGTATGGGAGCAGGGGTATTTTTTGTCTCGTATTAGGAGGAATCGACGATAGGTCGTTAGGCCTGAAGAAAATTCATGAAAACCTGACAAGCATGCGCGTGTTCTTCTATGTGCTCGTTTTCACGGGAAGTGGTACGTTAAGGATAGGTTCTGTGGTGTGCCCGGGGCTTTATTATGTACCGGTAGGGTTGCGACAACTTCCGATTAGAAGCCATTTTGGTTCCAACGTCCGCATTCGATCGTGCGTACACAAGAAACGGTCAATCATCCAATGTTGAGATCTGGTTTGTCATGTCTGGTTTCTCCATTTCTTTCCGGACCATAAATGAACAAATCGATCCCCATTTTCAATAATTCACGAAAAGGTGCACTGCTCAAGTGTATCCACGCGGAATATAGGCCTACACCGTAAAGAAATATCGATTCTTTTAGAATTTACTCTGCCTGCATATTTATTGACAGGCTTTGTGGTTTTTTTTTGTTCTGTCTTAATCGTAAAACAGTAACCAGTTTATTTCCCCTTAAATCTTTAAAAACTCGGTTATTTGAATACAAAGTACATGACCATAATTAGGTTTCAGTTGGCTAGTTTACCGAGTTGGGTAGCGTGTTTACAGTGCTTGGTACCAATGTCATTGTCCCACTTTAGATTGGACCGACCGCACGGTGGCCCTTGGAGCTTGTTTACAGTGTCATTCATCAAATCTGGACAAATTTGACACCGCGATGAACGCGATGACCTACCCTGCGTAGAGTTCACGTTACCCCCATCAAGTGCTAAGTGCTTCGGTTGCTATGGGTATCGGATACTATTCTACCATAGCAACCGAAGTACTTAGCAATGCCCTTCGTACAAAAGCTGTATGCTTCTTGACGTGGGTGACTTCAGGCCTTTCCTGCGTGAAAGGGACAATGAGATACTGTCGCCTGGAAAGTCGGGACCGAGTTGTTGGAACTAAAAATCACCTCATAACATTTCTCGTCCCCATATCCCCATAACAAGTATATTTTTTGGCCGTGCACAGTAAGAAAGCAAAGATAATAGCGAATACCATTACACTGTGACTGGTTCCCGGCCAGTCAAGATACCTGCGGGCGAGGTACTCAATTATGACTGCTCTTGCGCCGTTTGCCGGTTTTACTGGCCTACCAAACTGCCCGTTTTGCTGGTCGCTGGGGATTCCATGGGCGTCTGGAACGTTTTGCCTCAGAATAAAAGGCTTCCCTTAACGTTATTTTCTCTTTAATAGGGTACCAGATTTATTCAAAGCCATACTAGATTCCCTACATAACCGTGGACTGCAGTCGGGCTTGTATCTGTCGTATAGTTTCCATCAAATTGCTGTCTGCTAAACGTGTTGCTAGCTGGTAATTTTGTGTTATAATTGATAATTAGGACGCGTGATTTAGGAGAGATTTGGGGGTTAGAATATTTCGGTACAAGCTTCAAATTGGTTCGGTAGTTTAATGATGATGTTTGTATCTGAGCATAATGTTCATCATCGGCTCGATTTCATACGTTTTTTACAAAAAGTCTGCATTTTTTCCCAAATACTCGATTACATGTACATTGTTCCTCAGTTTAAGGGTTTGGAATCATTCTTCCAGATACTGCTCCCATCATGCTATATGCTACCTCTTTACAGCTTCGCTACATCACTTTGGATTGTTCGCCGAGTTTATGACGTCATTGATAGTTCTACTTCAGCCCATCCTGCCGCTGCAAATATAACGCTCATTACTTTGTCCCCTGGAACTTTGAATTACACTCGTTCATTTCCATACCATCTGAATGCAAGCATTTACTGAAGCCAGTCGTGACGTGTGTTGCATTCATATAAGCAAATTACGTACGGGCTGAAGGAAATCTGCATTTTTTTTTAATTATGTAAGGTGGAGTGTAGTCCTTCAGCTCAGTGTCTCTGTAGTGATTCTATGCATAGAAAACGAAACATCAAGCACGCCTTTATTGCTGACTGAACGTTATTCTTGTGGTGTGGAGCAGCCTCACCAACGTGGTTCCCGGCCGAGCGCGTGCGGTGAAACGGAGAAGAGAAAAGCCAGCGAACACTGTGTATGGTTGGAGTAAAGATTGCTGCTGTGTGATTGGTCAATTAAAACAGCATCCAGCCGCACACAGATCAAGGGGCCTGTTTGTTTCACAAGAATCCGGATCACGATCAGTGGTCCCAACGTTGGTTTCGTCCATGAGTTCAATATGCGGGTTCTGGTTTCAGTGGGCCAACTGTTACAACAGAATACTGATCGAGGCCTGGATCCTTTCGAAACAAACAGGCCTATATCTGTTGGCAAAAATCGATCAATTCCAAGACAGACTTCGCTCCCTGGTTCTGCTCTCTCCACGGAGATATAGAGTAACTAGGAGACTGCATCAAGGCGCTTTACTTTGCCTTCACGCGCATGTGCCACTTACGTGAGCTGTCCGTGTGCCTAGCTCTCTCACGCTTAGTAGAAAGTGGAGTGGGGACCCACCGCGTCGTCGATGATTGTTCGGCGTATGTAGTGGGGGGCTTTCAGAGTGCGGCTTTGCCTGGTTGCCAGAGCAAATTGCTCTTGGACATCAGGGAAGAGTGCATGAGAGGGACACAGATTGAGTGCCCGGTGCAAACAAACCCGGAGCTGCAAAGTTAGTCGTTTATACGATCCATCCGCGTTCTTAGTGTTATGGATCGGAGGTAGACGTGACTGATGTTCTCAGTGCAAATTCATAGGCTTTGGTGAGAGCATTAAAATGGTCCTACTGATCGAAGTGGGATGACATGAGGAGAAATTGGATACATATTATTGCCGTGGAAAAGGCAAATGTTTTCCTGCTATACGTTCTCGCAGTACGTTCCTAAGTCTTCAAGTTTTCGGAGCTCTGCCCTGTATCCAGGGTCGCTGCATGCTCTCTAGATTTGAAAGAGTGAAAAATCACTCTACTTTGAATGAAAATCACTCCTTTCGACTAGAACTAGAAACAAGACGAATTCGAGTGAAATTTCTTCACTCCATATAGATTGAGAGTTCGCTCGAGGTCCCACACGGAGTGGTTCCTGATCTAACTTTTTCCAATCTAAAATCGATGGACTCTTAACCGTCTAGTCCGTAGTTTCAAAGTTAGGAAGTACCAGCGTGGTGACCGTGATTTTCCATAAAATTCGGCAAAGGAAGCGTAAACATAGTAAATCATGGTGGGTAGGTCATACCGTTCCCATGATTAGATCGCCCACTTTATTCCTCAAGCTAACAAATCTATATGTTTGGAAAGCCGAGAGCGATTGTTCAGATTTGGTTCAAGTAGTACGTGTTAGTATGGAATTCTCAGAGCTTTGTGTAGAGAGAGTAGCACCACCTTAACTTTTTGGAGGCAGAATGGCTGTCATTATGTACACAGTACAGCGTGCAGCTATTGTACCAACTACTATCCGTGTGCAATGGCGTATAGAGGGATCCCAATGCGACGCTTTTAGCATCGATCTGCGCACTTCCGCGTTTGAAAACGAGGCTGTAGGCTATGTGTCGGCTTCAATTCTTAATACGATCAGACGATTGAAAGTAAGGAGTCAAGACACAAAATACGTAACGGTATGTTAAATTCAGACTTTTCAGGATGCAAATTTTTGTGAAAGAGTCTTTCAGGATGACTCGACACGTAAAATCAAAAGACAAAATAACGACAATTGACTGCGAACTAGCATAGCTTCGATGGTCGTGTATCTTGTGCAGTGGGCGTGGTTAAAACTGAAGTGGCGTCTCACTTACGAACCGGATACTCCATGTACTGTTTAGCTTCCGCGGGCGCGCGCAACCAAGTTCAACACAGAGAACCTGCGCAGACGGCGCCAATGTGAAATCCCTCTATACATTACGACACGACGCGCGTTATCCAGGGCCGTGTTTCAATACTCAACTTCAGCTCCGTCTCAGGCTTCAACTGTTTTGTTTTGTTTTTTTACTAGCTGACTTCGAAGCTGTTATCGCAGTAATCGGTCTAATAGTGCCACAGAACATCAAATGATATGCAAGAAACCCCAAAATTACAGTAATCCAATGTAATTTAAACGCCTAAGGCACACAATCGGGGGTTGGTTTTAAGAACGAAGCCTGATGGCGAGACGGAGACGAAGTTGAGTATTGGAAAACGGTAGTGCTCAGAGAGTTCTGGAATGGCACCCCCATTGCTGACGTGTGTCTAGCGCCCTCTGTTGATTATCCCGTGTTTGAAACTTGGCGGGACGTAAATCAACATGGCGTGCGAACCCAACTCGCTCAACACCTTTCCTTTTAGAAAACGAGATTCAGTGTGTTCTCCATGGTGTCTGTAATTTATACCTGGTGATGGACGAATGTACAAGGCTTTTGAAGGCCTATTTGGGATTCATGGGGAAGCTCTCGGCCGTCGGAATTGGAACGTACAACGTACAGGAAGATCATTTGACTGCCGAGACGAAAACGTGGAGGGGAACCTGTTGTGTGACGTTACAGTACAGATCTACCATGGTCACGTGTGGCCACGCATTTTCGGTAAGCGAGAATTTGGTAACATTTTATTTGCTATTTGCTTATTTTAACTAATCCCTGTTTACCCAAATGTGCTGTCCGTTCCTCCCAGTTGGATCGAGGCTACATGTGTAGGCTAATAGAGGTAATGCGTAACAAATTGAAGTCTCACTGCTATAAATTTCTACCCGTTAATGGTAACATATGTGAACCGTGGGCCGGGACGATGTTTCTGGTGATCAAGGGAAATTGTAATGGCCTCTGCTTGCCACATTTTGTTATTAAAGGAACCGTTTCGATTGGCGTGGAATTTTGAATTGCCGTGTAGTATTTGGTGCACAGACTAGTCGGCAAACTTGGAAAAAACTAACAGCTAATCAGTTGGGTGCATTTTGTCGTGCAAAAGTGTCTCTGAAGATCTTGGCCTGATAAAGTTTCAGAAAGTAATGTGGGGTTTTGTCACCAGGGTACGTGAAGTGATAATCCTGCATGGCGTCATTTCGTAATGACGTCAGTTGCTTTCTGCACTGCACTGCCCCACCATTTTTTTTCTAATTGTCTTCGCGTTCTTTAGAGTAGCTTTTGAATAAAGGGTTGCTTATTTGTTTGGGCGTTTCGCTCCGCAAGTGTGTTGGTGTCACATTACCTTTCATAGGTACTTTGCCTTTATCAAACGGAATTTGTGACTTTTGGACGGTTGCCAATTCACATTCTTATAGCAGTAAAGAATGTCTGGACTACTCAAATACACGGCGCACTTGCTGCCTCGAAAGCTTAAAAGCCTACAGCCGCTCGTGTTGTGTCAGGCAGCGGGTGGTGCCAAAACTTGGCCGCGCTATCCAAACCCCTCGGCCGCCTTCTCACAGGGTACGCAGGCCTGTATTTGCAGTCTGCAGCTTTTCAAATAGAGCCAGGGAAGTGACATTATTGCAGCAACCCGAGATGCGTACACCTCCAAAAGGTGTTTGCGCGGTTGGCCTACACGGCAGCGCTTGGAGAGTTGAATTCTTGCTCGCAACGAGGGGCCTTCAAATTTTTAAAGACAGAATCCACAAAACTGATGTCCAGGGCAGGCAGAACTAAGGATTACATCTTTACCTGGGAAACTAGACATTGCACACATTTGTAGGCATTGATCCCCTCTTAATACGAGGAGGCTTTAGTACGTGCCAACAAGGGCGGTGATTCTTATATATACAGTAGGAGGCTCAGGGCCAAGAAGGGCGAATCTAGACCAGATTTTCAGGGGCAGTGTTTTTCGGGGGTAAGAACTTGTCAACTTCCTTTGTAACGTTACTGTCTGTCTGAGATAATATGAGGCTTAATTTTGGTAAATGTAAACCAAAAAAAAAAAAGAAAACTACTGTTTGGTTGTCTCCTCGGGAGTTATTTTTGTGCAGTGTAGGGGGAGATACAGATGGAGCTGTGATTGTGTAGGAAATAGGCGTGGGAGTTCGTGTCTCACGACAGCGTTGGTGCGTGACAGCGCAGGGGTACCGTTCTGCAAGTATTGCATTGGGACAAGTTTGCCAGTGGGGTGCAATCTCGCATGAATACCACGTCCCCGAAGCCCAAGACGACATATCACGCCAGGTGTGAATGAAAAGCAGTCAGTACGACCACCACTTGACGTTTTTTTTTTCAGGTTCAAAATACAAGTTTTATTGGACGAAGCAGAGCTCATGGTGTGTGTTTTTAATGATAATCTCCTACTATGCGCATTTTCTCAGTCTTAATGTGTTTAATACTGCCTCGTAAAAGAGCCAACTGTAATGATTGAACTGAATCACGTGATGTGCGTTTCCCCATCCTCAAATTGTGTTAGTGCAGTTTCGTATATGGAACAACAAATGCAAGACACTATACTTTTCCTAAATAGAAATTGTTCCTGTTGTGCACGGTTGTATATGAGTTGATGTTACACATAGGCTATATGTGTATGTTATTATTAATGCAGCCAGGCTGACAAATTTGGCTTAGAGTCGCCATGAATCGTGGAAGAGGCATACCAAGCCGCATAATCGATCATTTTTACCTGACGTCATTATATGCGTCGATCCCCCTTCTCGGCTGTTTGAGGCTTTTAATGATCGCCGAGTCCGAATGACGACCCAGCTATGCTACGTTGCCGACGACCGTGCGCAGTAATAGGGGGGGGGGGGAGTTGTCGTGGATACACGGGTGTTATAAATATTCCTAGCTCTGCGCTGAAAGGCCGCAGATCCTCGCCCATTAGGGGCAATTTATCTCTGGGACATTGAATTACAGTACACCGGATGCCCTCATTCCTGTCCTGAGTATGCGGTATGCACGTGGACCATGTTGGAAAAATAACAGGCAGCAAGTTTAGTCAGTGCCACGGTACAAATGAAGCTGCAGTCTCTGGCTTGTTGTGTGGCCAGAGAGTCAAGTGACTTTATCGTGCGTGTAAACAGAATGTTGCAAGCATACATCAGTACGCCTGAGTCCTGTGGCAATGCTGTATCATCCCGATTTGATGTAAAAGCGAACTTAATTATGTAATAAATAAAAAAGCACTTGAACTCGTATATATCTATATCATTACCATGCTTATTGAGTCTTCGCTGATTTGGATGGCGGCGATCTTAGAATGAGAACTAAACGTCAGATCAGTGTAAGACTTTGGCTCCCGCTTGACTTGGAGCGGAACCTAGATGATTGCATCCCCGGGGGTGTTTTTTTTTCCTTCTTATTAACGTATTCAGTTTGAATTGATATAACACAGTAGATATATTAAGAATCTTAATCCTCGTTTCCAAAGCTGCATTCGGAATAGCAGTAGAAATGTCACAAATCGATTTTTCTACTAAAAATGCTCTAGTTAAAGCTAGGTTGCAAACCCGAAAAGACACTGCACATTAATAAAGCAATCTGAATCACATTTGCCTGTACCTTTAGCCAGAGTATGATAATTGGCAGCACGAATGTGTATGGGGTATTTTTGAAAAAAAAATCACATCTATATTCTCGTATTTATATGAGAAAAGAAAATTGTCACAGCCAAATATCCCAAGTTTTGAGTCAGAATGAGTGTAAAATATTCAGAATACAAAAATTCAGGACTGTACATTTTTGTGAATCGATAGTCAGCGCTAGAACGAGCAGCAAAGGAGTGTCTCTGCCGAGTGATCACATCGCTGAGGTTTTGGTATAAGGCGCCAAAGATACGCTGATGTGTGCTGCATAATGATGCTGGAAGTCGTCTCCATTTAAAACAATCATGCACAGATAGGGGTGTTTAGTTTGTCGCGCTCCGTCGGGATGTCAGACTGAAAGAATGCGGCCTGCCACTCATTCTGGAAATCGGATGGGAAAAAAACCGTGTCTTAATTTGATTTTGAAATTAAATTTTGTTCAGCTGTTCTGGAAGTGAAGACCAGCCGCCGTGGCCGTGTCTTTGTATTCCACGTCGTCTTGAGCCGAGCGCTTACCGGTAAGGCGGGCGATTGTGTATACCTAGGTGGGTCGACAACCGGAAATAAATTTGAGGAAATGTTTGGTCGCGTGGCAGAAGAGCCTTCTTGACATTTTGATTTTCAATCGCAGGCATTATATTGTGACACGCGTAGGGTCGATAAAAATCATCCACGGGCCGGTTACAGTGTTGAAATGTACTGCCAGGGGGGGTGTGAAGAGAAAGCTCTTGTGCCTAAAGGCGCCTTTCCATGTGTACGTTTTTTTGGGTGCGTTGCGTACACGTTGTTTTCATGCGTTTTACTTTCATGGACACAGAAATCGACTCCACAAAAGCCTGTTTTCCATAATGGTCGTTTGTAACGCAGACGGGACGCTAAAACGTCATGACGCAGACAGTCTCGGAAGAGAGGCTATGCGACGTCCTTCCACCAAAAATTAAACAAAATTCCTTTTTTAGATGACAATGTTGCCTCGTGAAGCCAAACTGACACTCTAGTTTGATGTAATTTGTTAATTGTCAGCTATTTTGTTGACGATTGCGGCTGCATATGCTAATAAGGAGAAAATGGATAAAATGAGTGATACTGAGCGAGAGAAAGATCATTGTACGCCCGTCATGCCAGCGTGCGTGTTTGTATAGGCCGACTCAGCGACTTGACGCAGACAGTCGGAGCGAAGTTGAACCAGGCTCCATTTTGCCGATCCGTTTGGGGCTGGTTTGCGTTTGTGACGACACTTTAGTTTGATAGTTTCCATTTGTCTGTGTTGCAGTTTGCGTCTTCATTGCATTTCTCTCTGCGTTTCTCACGTTGATATGGAAGCCTGGCTTAACATAACACACGTATGCACTGCGTTCGGCCGTCAAATTTGCCCCGGGAGCGATTTTGACGGGTACGCAACGCTTGGCGCAAGTGTGACGTTCACATATGGAAAGGTACCTTAACCCGTGTGCAACGCAGACACGTCAACTTAAATCGGTGAAACCAGACAAGGACAGGCACAAAATCATGTGAAACAGTTGCTACTAAGTATTAACCCCGAGCTGGACCAAGAGAGGGCGCAATTTTCTAAGCAACGAAGGTTCCTTTGGTCGGAACTGCACTTCGCCGATTCATAAACGAAACGGTCATGAAAGGTACGAGTTATACGGTCGCGTCGCTTACCACGTTTCGCGTGTGGCGAGACCTCTGAGAAAGAACTTGTCGGGTCATACTTCGTGACTGACAAAAGATATCTTCGAGTCAAAAGTCAGCGACATATAGTGATCACACAGGAGAATAAAATACTTGACTCTTTGAGATGTCCAGTTACATCAGATACATGACATAACCAACATGTTACAACCAACATGTTCTACGTATGGTGACATGTTGAAAATTATGCAGGCATGCATACGAATGTAACGAGTCAATTAGCGTGTTTGGCAGTACAGTCCTGAGCGTGATATTTGGATGCTTGTGTAGGCAGCCGTGCCACATTTTGAGTTATTTCAAGGCGATGAACTGTTCTCCCATCAACTGGGCCCTGCCGCGCACACCAAAACACCGGTAGGCAGTATTCAAGTTGTCACAGCAACATGCAACATA